CTCATTCACTGGGGAAGAAAAGAGTATTTGGATGGAGCGTAGAAGCGATTGAGTCCGTAGACCCCATTTTGCTGGCAGGCTCATGTCTGTGGCCCAGATCCTGCATCTCTAGAAGCAAAAAGGAAAGAGTGGGAAGCAGCCCAAAGGTAAACTAAGACTTGTTGCATCTGCTTCAAACCTTGATAGCTACTGAACATGAACTCAAGGCCTAAGTGCTGTCCCTTGGCTTTTTCTCCAAGTCTGGAACTCTACGGCTTAAGTCACACCTCCCCTTTGGCTTCCCGGGCAGTTAGTCGATGATAAGAGTCTCACAGACATTCACTTTCTAGGCTGGCTTCCAACCAGAATCCTCGGATCTCAGCCTCTAGAGAAGCTAGGATTCTAAGCGTGAGCTTTAGGCATCAGATGAGTACCATCCATTGTTAATCCTCATCAAGAGAAATCCAGCTTGAAAGTGGGATCCTTAAAAATCTAAGGAATGAAGAAAAATCTTTCGGTAACTCTCGGGGCTCTGGCTATAAAGAAAATCCAACAGATAGCCGGGCGCTGGTGGCTCACGCCTGTAATCCTAGCTACTCAGGAGGCTGAGATCTGAGGATCGTGGTTCAAAGACAGCCCGGGCAGGAGAGACCGTGAGACTCCTTTCTCCAATAAACCACCAGAAAACCGGAAGTGGCGCTGTAGCTCAAGTGGTAGAGCACTCGCCTTGAGCTGAAGAGCTGAGGGACAGCGCCCAGGCCCAGAGTTCAAGCCCCACGACCGACAAAAAAAGAAAAAAAAGAAAATCCAACAGAGGTCTGCTTGGGGTGGGGGTGGGGCGGAGGGGGTGAGGTGATTTGGGTTTAGTCTGGGTCTTAGGGGTGTTATTTTGTGTTCTAATCATAAGCAATTTGAACTACGATTCCAAAACCCTATCTCTGGCCTAGTCACTCAGCAGAAAGCACTTCTCATTGTCACGGGAGATCACATTTATGGAAAGTTTATCTTGACCTAAAAAGCCCTGAACCTCTTTTTTTTAAAACTCACGTTTCTGTTTTGTTTGATGGGAGTCGGTGGACCACCGGGGTTTAGTTGAACGCTTGCATTCGCTCCTCGTCCTGCTTCTCCCTGTTTGTGCCCTCACCGCCGGCCCTCTCTAAATCTAGAGTTCACAGAGAGCTGGCAGCCTGCGCTTTGCAGGGCCTCCTCACGGGCCATACTCTGCCCACGAGCACAGCCACCAGCTCTTTTCTGCAGTCAGGGGGCCCCCTAACCCAGGTCTGGATTCCCGCACACAGGATCCCAGGGTTCACGTGTTAAGTGCTGGAGCTCACTGGCTGGTTTTGATCCAGGATGCCAGTCCCCCCAGTAGGGCCTTCGGAGATGGGGAATTTCCACCTGGAAAGAACGGTGTGTGCACAGGCAATCCCAATCCCAGAGCTCCTGTACCCCCAAATCATGCCCCAGCCATTGGGTGAACACAACTAACTCTACACCTTGAGAACACAGGGCGGACACACCCACCGCCGCCGTCACTGTCACTGACACTGGATCCAAAGCCACACTGTCTACGCGCATTGGCTAAGCCAATGGCTGGGTGCACATGCTTCAGCTAATGACATCGGGCAGCCACATCCTCAAAACGTGTGCCACGATCTCCTCCAACACGGAGGAGTTACAGGTGTGTGCAGAGCTGCCTCCCCGCCCCCCACCCCGCCGTGCCTGGGCCAGTCACGCGTGGCTCAGTCCATCGGCCATCCTGCTGCTGTTTAAAATGAAAGAAACGAGAGAGTTTCTGTGCAGAGGCCTTGCTGGGCGGCAGGTGCCGCCCTTGATTGAGGCCCGGATTCCTCACACTTGCGTCTGCTCCAGAAGCAAGGCTGCAACCATTTGCAGAGAAGAGAGAAAGAAAAGGCCGCCTGAGCAGCCACCGGTTCACTTGGCCCCGAGTGGACCAGATCTCACTGTTGACTGTGCTACTTATGACCAGCACTGAATGCAACAGCACCGCTCGCCCAAACCAACCAGGAGAAGTGGTGGGGGGGAGGGCACTGTCCACCTGCAGCCTTTCACACACCCGGCGCCCGGGTCCCCGGGGTGCTCAGAGAAACCCTGCAGGATGCAGGAAGGGCCTGGCACTGGGGTGATTTCCCCCAAGGGGGCGTGTGCATGAATACACGCGTGTGCTGGCTTTCAGTCACCCAACCTGTGTTCACTTGCCTCTGTTCACCCTGCCTCATATCCCAGAGAGCATGTGCAGCTGGGTGCCCTGTACCTCTGGTTCCAGGCAGGCTGCAGTGCACACGCGCGTGCGTGCGTGCACACACACACACACACACATGCACGCACCTGTGTGGTACCTGAGCTTGCAGCCATGGCCTTGGGCAGGGGTTCTGTAGGGAAACTGGGAAAGGGGAACCAAGAAATCTATTTGTGGAAGCTCATACTGGTACTGCAGAAGCCCTTGGGGCTGTTTACAAGGCCTCCTTATTTTTAAATACATCTTTATTATCTTTAAGTAGTTGTACAGAAGGGTTACCATCTCAACAAGTCAATTTGTAAGTACAGTGTATCCTGGTCCTCATCGCCCCTTTAGTCATTTGAACCCCACCCCCCAGCCCAACCTCTCCCCTCAGTTTTCCTAGTTTCACATTGAATAATTATTGCATTTCCTCCCCCCCCCATCCACCCTTCAAGCGCCGGCCTCCTGGCATTCATTTTGTTAGGTTATGAGTTCATTTTTCTAAGGAATGACCCCATTTGAATTCTCCCCTGCAAACCCCATCCTCGGGGTGCTGTGTTTGTGTACACGTGCACAACAGTGGCTGTGCGGGCTTTGAACAGGAGCTTCGCGTGAGCCACGAGAGGAGCTGCGGTCAGGACCCGGCTGCTCATGGTCACAAGAGTCAACGTGACAGGAAAGATGCATGGCGTGAGTGCAGCATTAGACCAAGGAAGCACAGTCAAGAACGCAGCGTGGCTTATCCACCCTCCCTTTCCACAGGACCCCTTCCACCTGTGCAACCTCGCTGGAGGAGGACACCCAGGAGGGAGGTGTGCCACCCCCTCCCCCTTGTGAGTCAGATCTGCAGAGAATACGTGGTTGGTCAAAGCCACGGGGAAGATGTGCGGGAAAGACTTCCACTTCATCGGCTTGGATTCAGAGAACCAGCACTGGTTCACTTACAAACACATGGCTGGGAAAGTAACACGAATGGACTCGTGAGCTACACGGTTCATTTCTGAGACTTCAGCATAGTCTTCAAGTTGGAGCACGAAGTCAGCTTTTCCTGGGGTGCTCCGAATGTCCTCAGGACCAGAGGGACAGGTCAACCACATGACTAGCAGTGCTGCTGCTCCTAGCTCTGATCTTCAGGGTCTCCGGGAGAAGGGTTGGTGAGTATGTTGTTTGCAAATAATAAGGCGGCCTAATAATAATAATAATAATTTTCTTCCTATTCCATTTTTAATCAGGCCCTTAAATTACAGGTGCCTGTGAGCTGCATACTTGGACTGATCTCCTGGCAGGTAAGTGTAGCAACCTTTGCTCCTCCTGGGTCACACACCTAGCCAGCCACCCCAGCCCTACCCTCCCTCCCTCCCTCCCGTGCCTGGTGAAACAGCGAGGCAGAGACTGGAGCTTGAAGAGCAGCTCAAGGAGTTTTGTCAGACACAGATGTCTGCAGCTTCCAATTCCTTTCTCTTCACTTTCTGACCCTTCTAGGTTCTTTCCCGCACAGCTCCCACCCCTCAGGATCTTGAGTTTGAGCTAACAAGGGTTTTTAACCTCAGACTCTCTCCTTGTCAAATGTTGGACAGGTATGAGTGCTGGTGTGCAGGACAACAGATTGTGAGTCTGTTCCTCTAGGACCCCCGTGCACCTACTGTAAGAAAGCCTGGCGTGGGATCTGTCCTATAACACCAGTGTCACAACCACCCCACACTCTGCCCAGCAAATGGAAGAGGAACTCATGGAGCCAAGACCAAAACAAGCCAAGGGACTACATGGACTCCCCCTTACACTCCCTTGGGTTTTTGTTTTGTTTTGCCTTGTTTTGCTTCCTTCTTTCCTCCATGGCTTTCTTGTTTTTCTAGTTCATTATTTACAACAGAATCACTCTACCTGTCTTCCCCACTTTAACTCAACACCAAAGGCAACAAGGAAGAAAATCTCATGTCAAATGGGCTCCCTGGTCCCCTCAGCTTTTCCCTATGGAGGAATCCATGTGGAAAAGACTGGCCAGAAGGACAGAAAGCTGGAGAGGAGGCACACCATTCGCAGTGAAGCACTATCACGTAATCTGATGTCGAGGTCAAACCGTTCTGATTCTCTTTAAATGTACTTGTATGTTGGTTTTAATAATTAAATTAGGCAGATGGTACAGGAAAAGGACTTGAAGCCATTCACATTGTACAGAGGAAAGCCATGACCCCCCCCCAAAAAGGAATTAGTGACTTATGGGAGGTGAACAGTATCATGGATGTTTCTGCTTTCCTGTCCTCAGGCGACATACCCCAGCCTCAAGGTAAAATACAGACTGCGATATTTAGTCACTGAACTGTTTCAAAGATGGACTAAACCTATGTAAGAACGTAGCCCCTGAGCCTAGCTTCCGGGACACGGCAGCTTTCTTCTTCCTTAGCAAGGGGAATTTCCCCCGTTTGACTCATGAGGGTTTTGTGTGTCTCATGAGGTCAGGGTCTTACTCCATCCTGGAATGGGATAGTTAACTCCTGCATGCCCCCGGTCGGTCATTTGAGGTGCAGGCTTGGGTACCACCTCCTTCTGGGAATAGCTTTGCCATACGCCATCCTATCAGCAGACAAGCGAGGCCTCCTCATCTTTGATGCCAACCCAGAATCTTTCAGTTACCCTGGGAGTCAATGTGACTCCTACCTTATTTTTAAGACAAAATTAACTTTTATTACCAACCTGGCTGAAATCAGGTGAGGAAAAAAAATATCAATCTGGAATGGCAGAGCTAAATAAACAATATTTACTGAAAACAAAAGTGTTCATCTTTCTTGATAAGCAAAATTTATTATAATCCTGTTGTAACAAAAATGCTGAATAGCCCTGGGGCAGGGGAAGCAAAAAGAAAACTGCCTTTGCAACATGTCTTTTCTGTCTAAATTAAGCAATATTCACATTTAAGAGACTGAAGGTAAAACCACAACAAAAACACAACAATCTTTTTATTTATGTAAATCGGATCAACACTGGACAATAAACCAATTTCTACCCAATACCATAACAGCTTGTCTATAAAGAACAGAAAAGTTCAGATAGAAGTCTACCTAGGGTCAAGCGGTAATTTTTTTTTAAAACCACCCATTCACAGAGGTATAGATTCACAGATAAATAATCCCAAACTACTTGCTGGCCATATTTACACATTCCCATTAAATTAAGCATAAATAAATATGTACACGCTGAAGCCTCCGGTACCCTCTACAGCTTTGTGCTGAAGAGTCAATAGATGGATACTTCTTGATTGTATGACAAAAACAAGGTTAGTAATTTAGAGACCAGCTCAAAAGAGTGGTCGGGCTTGGCATGTAAAGGATAGTGTTCATTCCAGTTTTTGAAAGAAACCAAAAAAAAATGAATTCCAATCGTTCTCTTTTCTTCTGCCCATAATTTAATACCCATCAAGCAAGGAGGGCCACACCATTGGGGGTTGGAGGAGACATCAGGTGGTCTAAGGGTGCTAATTCCTTCCCACAATTACACAGTACAAGACATCAGTGGTGATGACAAATGTGCTCCTCGACACTGGTAACCAGGACTCCTGCACAGAGGAACTTGGTGTGTGCAGTAAGTCCCGGAGACTGAGGTTCTATCCATTCATTCCTATCCAACTCCTGGAGAGAAAGTGATCTCACGGGGCCCAAGGACACATACCTCAGGTCTTTGAAAATATGTGTATGGGGGTGGAGGGGAAATGGAGGTGGAGGAGTTTGAAGGCCAGAAAGGAGAGAAAATAGGAGATCATTCATGACCAGCCTTGGGGGTGAGGGGGGTGCAGAAGGGTTTGGGAACCTGCAAAGCCCCCCACCCCCAGCAGGCGTGGGGGACACCCCTGCCTGGGGGGGCAGGGCACGGGACAGCCCAGCCACACCTCACCTGCTTGGTCTGAAAACAAAGCTCAAAGGGCCTTCCACGTTTCCCTCCACTTAAAAGGCAAACTCTTGAGTTAATCCTACTGTTTATTGATTTATAAGCCCAAGGAAACCAAATCTTTTAATAACTCAATTATCAGATCAGCGTAGCAATCCTGGCTAAGGAAAGCAAAGGGTCCTACATGAAAGGAAAAGAGGTGAAGGGGGAGGTGGCTCCCCAGGGGGGAACACAGGGTGCCCCAGGGCACCCGGTCCAGCCCTAAGAGTCCCTGGAAAATGTATGGGGACAATGCAACTGCAGAAGCTGTGGTCATGGGGCCAAACCTGTCCATCGTCTGTCCCTCTCTCTCTCTCTCTCTCTCTCTCTCTCTCTCTCTCTCTCTCTCTCTCTCTCTCTCTCTTTCTCTCTTTCTGTTCCTCTCTGCTGGGTAGCTACTGGTGGCCAAAGGCCTGTGCTGTGGAGGGACCCCTCCCACCTGCAGCCCGGGGGGGCTCTGCCCTTTTACCTAGAGGAGAGCTGGGTGTTCTCAGCCGCCTAAGCCCTTGGGGGTTGAGGCCCCGTGAGAAGGGCCGAGCGCTGAGGGCGAGCCTGCAGCCGCTGCCTGGGGAGAGCCGGGGCGCAAGCCCAGTCCACCGCCTCCTCCTCCTCGCAGGTCACACGCGTTGGGCGCGCTGCCCTGCAAGGAAAGGAGACGTTGGGTTCAGTGCCGTTCCCCGGCCTCCAGCAAGCAGAACACATACCAAGCCTCAGAGGTGGGGAGGGGAGGGCTGAGTGAGGGCCACACTTTCCAGAACGTGGAGGGGGGGGCTTGGTGGTGTGGGCCCCAGAAGAGGAACGGAGCTGGGGACCCCAAAACCACCTTCCTGCCACCCAAATGTTCCAGGAAAGCTCTCCTCACTTTACTAACACCTCGCCCAGCAGAACATCTCAACGCCTGTCCAGGCTGACCCTCGCCCTGACCCTAGCCCAGGGCCTGCCTGCACCACTTTACAGAGACGCTAGCATCTGCACTGGATGGAAGAGTCCTATCCCACCAAGTCCAGGTTTTTATTTCGACAGAAGGCTCAGATTGGGGCCTGAGAAAGAAGCTGGGCTCCACAGACGTGAGCAATATTAAGTGCATAGAAGGAATCCCCTGGAAAGATTCCCAGGGTAGCTGAGCAGGACGACTCAAAGCCCAAATGCATGCCCGTTTGTTTTGCATTAGCTAACCATTTTAGACCATCACAGGGTGTGGGGGGGTCTCATTCATAAAATATCTTGCAGGCAGGCAACGGCTGCACAGACACCTGACCATGCCACCCCTCCTGCATTCCCGTCAGCAAAATAATAACAATAATAATAATAGTGCTTTTCCCATTAAAACCGTAGACTTCCCCACACACACACAAGAGCCCAGGGTCAGAGAATCTAAGCTACCACAGTCCTGCACTCCTACAGCCCTTCCTTTTGCTTCCTCTGAAAGTTGCTTTTTCCTCCCCACCCCTTCCCCGGAGGGGCTTGGTTAACCAAGTTGATTCAAAGCTGCTAGCCCCCGTCTGGCCAATTTCTCAATGATTCCCTTTGAGCTTCTTTAAAGAGAGCCTGCAGAATCCTGGCACACTGGCTTTGATTAAAATAAAGTAAAATAAAAACCATAAACCAGATTGTGTGTGTGTGTGTGTGTGTATGTGTGTGTGTCAGTACCTTATAGATTGTGTAGGAAGCTGGAGTCTTCTTTGAACAAGCTCATAAACCATGCGGGCAACGCTTTGGGAAACAGAAGAGAATGAAACGGTACATACCCCTGGAAGGAATTACATACTAAGCAATGTATTCGTGGTGGTGGGATTTGTGTGTGTGTGTGTGTGTGTGTGTTTACTCTACTTCTTAAAATTGGTAGATGACACAAATGTTAGGACAAAGGCGAAACTCGCTGCAGGTGCCGGGAACGCATCACCTTTGTGAGAGGAATTTAGGAGGGATCTGAACCAAGTTATTTGCCTTGAATTTCCTCTGCCGTTCTGCAGGCGGGAACCATAAACAAGTAGAGGATGAGCTCCTACACGCCCTCCCCTACTCCACCCGTTTCAGGCCCTCCCTAATTAAGCACCCACGGCCCAGGAATTGCAAGGTGGGTGACCTGGGACCCTCTGGGCCTGGAGAGGGAGGGAGGGGCTGCTGGGGGAGGGGGCTAAAGCCACCCAAAGGGGCTGATCACACTCCTTTGCACCCCCACGGGCTCCCCACCACCGTGTGAGGGAAAGGAAGGCCGCGTGGAAAAAAAGGCTGGCTGGGGAGAAGGATGGGGGGGGAGAATGGAGAGGGGAGCTTCAAGGATTGCCTTTGAAAAACCAAACCAAACCAAACCCAAAAACCTAAGAATTAAAAAGTTCGTGCATCTCAGTGAACCCGCTCTCAAAGGTCTTGCCACCAACGCGTCTCCGCTGTTCTTCCAATAAGTTAGTGTCGTTTCACGTTTAGTCTTAGGTTTATTTTCCAAAAAGGGTAAGGGGGACACCATAGTGTCTTTTATTATCGGTATGACTAGGCTGGAAAAAACAGATTTGTAGAAGGTCCGGAGGGCAGTCCTCAAGGGCATCTTGACATTGGCATTGAGAAGCGACATCGACGCCGTGGTCAAGCCTCGGTCTGTAAGTTATTTAGCTTTCTCGTCTCTTTAAACTTGGTTTTGTGTTTTATTTCCTCCATGATTGTATGTGTCGTCTACCTACTGAAATTCTTCCAAAGCCAATCCAATATTGTTTTAAAGCTAAAATTAACTTTTGTTCTGTTCTCCTTTTGTATTTAAAACATTTTTCCTTCTTTTTTTTAAATTATTATTTGTTTTTTCATTTCCTGTGTTTTTCCTCCTTGTCGCCAGTTTTACTACCTGGGCCTTCCCCAGACGTGTGCCTGTTAGTGGAGGTGGTGTTCAAGAACATCTTGTCCAAGCCTTTGAGGGCTTCGGTGAGATAGTTCTGCAGGGCTGTCAGGGCTGCGCAAATGGCTGGGGCGCCGAAGCCGTGCGTGATGAGGCTGAAGTGCGTGAGACAGCTCTGGATCCCGGGTTCCAGGATGGGGCTGGGCCGGCTGTTCCCGATTGGGGTGCGGTCCTGCGCCAGCAGGTCGGTGAACTCTTTGCAAAGCTGCCTGCAAGGGGGTAGGAGGGGGGGGATGGAGAAGAGACTTCACCACGGGGGCCCTGGGGTCACTGCAGAGCTCGGCTAATGCGCGCCCTTCCGCTCTGTTTCCTTCTTTCCTTCCCCCAGCTCCTCCGAGGTCCCCACCCCCACCCCGACCCCAGCAGCTGGGGAGGGAGCGAGGTTCCATCCCCCATCAGCCCCCAGCCTGCCTCTCTGCGCCTCTGCGTGGCAGACACCCTATGTGTTTGTGCTGTGAATCATCCCTTTTTTTATCTCTTACCTGGCATTCTTTCCCCAAAAATAAATAAATAATAAACAAAGAAATCCTCCTTTCTCCTGCTTCTCCAACCTGCCTCTTAGAAATCACACACACAGACACACACACACACACACACACACACACACACACACAGAGCCCCGGAAGATTCAGGCCCCACAGCCACAAGACTGTCCCTCTCCTACAAACAGATTGCTAGAGCCTTGGCGCATGGCCCCGGGGCAAGAAGCTGTTTATTCGGAGACAGAATGCTGATTCTGTTCAGAAAGCAGAAACCTGTGTACCTGCAGTGTTTGGGGACTGAGGTATTTTCTACCTTCTTTTCAAAAAGAAAAATATCTTTCTCTCTCTCTTTCTCTCTCTCAATTTTTACAAGTGTGAGCTACTCCAAAAAAAAAATCACTGCATAACAGGATTGTTGCCAATATAGCAGATTTCCATAAACTTGAAATCAGATGTAAAGGCAGACTGTGAAGACACTAGGGAGGAAAGATTTCGTTGTTGTTGGTGGTGGTTTTTCAATTCCTCTAGGCACCTACAATTTCAGACATTTCCCAGCCTAAGGAGTCCTGTGCCCTAACTACGGATTGAGCTTCTTGAAGAAATGTCTAGTATCGAGGTGGGCAGGAGGGATGTAGGCCTGAAGGTAAAATGCCCAGCTCTGCCCGGCCAGCCACACACCGGCCAGCAGAACTTCTCCCGGTCACCTGACCCCACCCAGCTTCTGGTCCCTGGGGTCTTAAGAGAAGCAAAACTGTTAGGATCTTTGTCCTGGTCCCGAGGACATAGCCTGGGAGCTGACTGACAGTGCCCAGCCTGGTGATCAGGACCAGGTTTTGGTGTTGAAGGATCCTGGGACCTCCTTCCCCAGAGTTCTGCCACTTTAGGAACAGGCCAGAGGTCAACACCTACACCCTCCATCCCCTCAGCTGAAGGATGGCCTTGTAGATAGCAGATACAGCACACTGACAGGCACTGTATTCAAACCCTGCCTTTTCATTCCCAGCAGGCCCAGATGTCTTCCCATCTAGGGAGGAAACAAGGAACTGTTTCCAGCTACCAAAGGTAAAGTGTGTGTGAGTATGTGTGTGTGTGTGTGAGAGAGAGAGAGAGAGAGAAAGAGAGAGAGAGAGAGAGAGAGAGAGAGAGAGAGAGAGAGCTGCACTATCCTTGTTTTTTGGTTGTTTTGTTTTCTCAATGTTAATGCTCTACCACTGGAGGCACAGCTCTACTTTTTGGTGGTTAATTGGAGGGAAAGTCTCATGGACTTTCCCTGCCCAGGCTGGCTTTGAACCATGATCCCCAGATCTCAGACTCCTGAGCAGCTAGGATGACAGAATTAGTAGAGGGGCAAAACAATACAAACAACAACAACAAACTCTCCCACTTAATATCCTCCTAACCTTTCCAGTCAAAGGCTTTGGGGGAGAAGTCCAGGTATACATTTCTTGGGAAAGTTCCCTAGGTAATTCTGATTTTCACTCCAGGTTACAAAGTACTGGCAAAAATAATAATAATTTAAAAGGCCACAAAGCCCCCAAAGGGCAGACGCATTGCCCTGCAGGAAGCACAGAGGCTTTGTGAGAACCTGTTATCTGGCGCACATCCTGCTTCTGTGCGTCTATTTTTCCCACAAGGCACAACAGGTTCCACTGGCAGCAGAGAGGGAGAAGAGCAGCAGACACCCCCCCCCCCACAAAGATCTATCCCAGGCTAGCTGTTACATTAGGAGGAGAAGCTGTACGTGCCAGGGTTTGATCACTGCGGGGAGATGGTTAAAGTCTTTCCGTAAGTTTGTACTCATTACCCAAGTGCCAAAAAAAAAAAAAAAAAGAGGAGAGAACAAATGTTTAAGAGTTAAACATTTTAAATCTTCAAAGCCTCACCCAGGGTCTGTAAGCAATTAAAGTTCTGGGACATTAATATTTTTTGACCCTGTGGAAAGGGGCAATCAAATTCCAATCACGTCTCAAAAACATCTGGACAAATTTGAGCAAATGATTTTTCAGCCTTCCATATATTTCTTTAAATTACGCTGTCAACGGAACAAACCGCGCGTCCTGGAGCACTAAATAAATGAGAGCTGCTGGTTAGGCCAGCCCAGCCGGCCTTGGAGGGAGGGAGAGGGAGGGAGGGAGGGGGAAGGGAGGAAGAGAGAGAGAAAGAGAGAAAGAGAGAAAGAGAGAGAGAGAGAGAGAGAGAGAGAGATCATGGGGAGTGCAGGCAGGCAGGCGCATGCTCTGAGCACCGCCCACTTCAGGCCTGAGCCTGCTATAAAACACCCAACAATATGACATGGAACCCAAAGACAGGAGTAAATCAAATAAATAGAAAACCCACTGTAAAAGTTCAAATGAGCTCGAGACCTAAATTTAGCCAGAGATTTACTATTTTTCCCTCTGGAGTTGTAGTAAATTTTACAAGTCCACGGAAGATGACAAACACCACCGTCACAATTGGAGTAATCAGAGCTGTGGGTAGAGATGGGCCCTCGTGGGTGACATACAGACACCCTGGGCGGCACGCACAGCTCTGACGGGGAGTAGATGGGAAATCAAGGCAAAAACAGGCATCAGGGGTCCTGGGATGAGCTGGGAGGGAAAGGAGCCATTGGGGGAAGGTCTGCCTGGTATGCCTAGTGTTATGGAAGAGAATGGGGACCGCCTGCATTTGGATTAATAAATGCCAGACTTGGAGACTCACCCCCAGCCCCTCAACCCTCCCGACCCCTAGGGAAGAGGAGGTGGCACCCCAGCCTGGAAGCCCTTGGCACTTTCTTGTCCCAGAAGAGAACATCAACCTTGCTTCCCAAGCGGGTGGACCAGCAGGGTAGGAGCTGGAAAGGAAGGCTCTAGAACACTCACTTGGTGGCCAACAGCATGTTCTTTCTAGAGTGCAGGTCGCTGGGGTCTGTGTGCTGCCGGTTCAAATACTCAGAGACGGCTTTGGCAGGAAACTCTGTTTCACAGATATACCCAAAATCCCGAGCTAAGTGAACAGCTTCGCCTGCAAAGACAGTGGGAGAGAATCGTTGCCCTGTCCCCAAACATCCAAGGGCTGGAGTCACACACTTGTGCGCTCTGTTCAGATTTCCACAGGAGGCCAGGTGTTGGTGCAAGAGAAATGTAGGACAGAGGCCCAACAGTCACAAGGGGTCAAAGCTAATCTTCGTTCCCAGCCTCCCCCTGAGCCACGTCCTAGCTAGGCATCTCTTTGAATGGCCAGGACATTTTCATGTGTTGTCTAAATGGGGAGTTGGGCTGATCAATTCAAGAGCTACCTTTTCACTCAATCTAGACATTTGGCTAGATAGGCCAGCCAGATTCCTCCCCCACCCCTCCCATTTCTTTATAAAGATTCAGTTACACCTGTATTAAATAAAATTTCAACATCACCACCACCTTCCTGTAGTAGTATTAGGAAAAATGGCCCTTATTAATAACTAATACGTACAAGCATGATCCACACGGGTGAATGTCCACAGATATTGAGGAATATATGTAAAAAGTCTATGGAAAGATTGTTCTTTTCTGTTGAGCAGTGCAACAGTGATTCTCCTTGCCACCTTTCCACCAGGTAGTGTTCAGGTTTCTCTCCTTGGTGCATTTCTGTCACCAATGATCCTTTCAAGATTTTCCACTGCACAAAGATGCAGCTACAGAAAACCCGGGCATCTAAGGTATTTCAGAGCTTATGAGGAAGCCCCTTTTGAATAAAGATTATTAGCCTTTAAAGCACAGCCTTAGGGGGTTTGGGGAAGGATCACAAACATGAAAAGGAAGCATGTTGAATTATCCCATAGCTACATTACTTTTAAGGAGCGTGACTTACTTTTAATCATCATTATCATAATAACAAAGACTCCAGGCATGATGCTTACAAGGATCTATAAAACCCCAAACTGCCAACTGAAAGATTGGAATTTCAGTGGGATTTCCAGTTGCTTCCCTTCTCCAACCCAAATCCTGCTCTCTGGGCTAAGATTACCTTTGACTATTTTTCAAAATGAGGATTGTGATATGAGCACAATCCTAAAGGACAAGATGTGAATACCACCCCCTCCACACAACCTACCCTCCCCCTTCCAAGGGTTCAAAGTCAGCTGCTGATAAAGGGGATAAAGGGTAGTTGAAAATGTTGGAGGGCAAGTATAGGGCAAACAAATGTGCCTAAAAGATGGCAAAACGTAAGGCTGGTAAAGACGATGCCCCGGTGGTTGCTGTTTCAAGGTTTTAAGATGCCCTCCTCCAAAAGCCAACTCCTCCGTGAAAAAAAATGGCAGAAAGAGCCAAGACCAACAAGCCAGAGTCTAGAGAAAACTCTGTGCCTTCCTGGGTGAGTGCCATCTGGCTGGGTTTCCCGCCTGCTTCCACTCCCGGCAAACTGAACTCTAGATATGCTTGTTCTAGATTATGCAGATGAGCTTCTTTATTACATACCAGAAGATCACCCACAAATCCAATCTGATGAGCAAATTCCAGGCTGCTTATTACAATAACGGCTAGGCGCTAGTGTCTCACACCTGTCACCTTAGCTGCTCAGGAGGCTGAGATGTGAGACTCAAAACCAGCCCGGCAGAAAGGCAGTGAGATTCTTATCTCCAATTAAGAAGCCGGAAGTGGAGGTGTGGCTCAAATGGTAGAGTGCCAGCCTTGAGCAGAAAAAGCCAACCCAGAGCTCGAGGTCCTGAATTCAAGACCCAATACCGGCCCAAACAAAGCAACTACTACTACTACGGCTATTTCCTTCACAACTCATGACATTTCGACTGAAGACCTAACTTGACACTTTCCCATCCATATTTTCCCATCACCCCTTTGCCAGTTTTCCCCCAGGCAGCCCCGGCCTTCCCTGAGGCATCTTTCCCAACTGCCAGGCAGGCTGCAGCAGACAGGGCCCACAGCTTTCAGAACCAGCAGACTGGCTCCTGCCTGCAGTGTGTTTTCTAGCAGTGAAAACAGGTATGGATTTCTGCTTGAGGAATTTCTATTGCAAGAATTCCTAAGAAGGGGTTTGCAAGGCTGTAGAGAGCTGAGGTGAACCCCCCCCCCCCAGCTGGCACTGATCACGCTTGAGGACACAGGAAAGCCTGACAGAGTCCCTTGGCCATTCTAAAACTGCTGGCTCCTGCTAAGTCAAAGGACCTTTGAACTTCTCCCCAGAAGCCGCTTGACATCCAACTCATAGAGGCCAGACCATTGCAATGATTTCCCCTTAATCATGAACGGTGTAAAATGTCAGCCTCCAGCCGACAGGGAGGCTAGCCCCTGGAGCCGCTGTCCAGGCGGCCTCGCGTTCTTGCTTACCTTCCACCAAAGAGGTGAGCAACGTGACGTTTGCAGCTTTGCGTCTGCCTGCAGGTAAGTTCAAACCGATCTTTTCTAGCCTCTCGCGCAAAGATCTCCCCCCATTTTTCGATTTGGCTCTGAAATGGCAAGAATTAACATTCTGATTAACCTCAGTGTACTCCTGAAATGAAGTTTAGACTTAGCGATCCCAAGCCCAGCCTAGCCTGAAGACGTTTGAACTGGAGGTTGGCACTCCCCGCCACCCACCCCGTTTTCCCCCTTTCGGATATTGGCCGATAGTTTGCTGAGGTTTGCTCAATTTCTGCAATACAGAGCATAAAAAATTCTTTAAAAAAAATCTTGGGGGGGGGCAGGGAATGGATCCCAGATGAGAATCATTAGGAGGAAGATTGTCCGCACAGACACAAACATCCAGAGCCCTTAAACAAAACAAAGGAGGAACGGGGACCTCCGTGCTGAGGAAACAGAAAGACACACCCAGGTGGAAGTCCAGAGTATGAGGTTTAGGAGGGGAGAGAAGACTGGACTGGGGGTTCACCACCAGCCTCCCAACAGCAGGTTAACGCTTGAGTGGGGTCGCAGGGGGACCTTAAAGTACTGAGGTTCTCTAACTCTTTGAACAAGTTGCCTGCACCCAGGCTCCAAGGTGGAGCTGGAGACCTCCCGGCTCCAGTGCTCAGAGGACTCACTCCAATACCCACCCGGAAGGAGAAGGAGAGGGTTCCAACTAAGAAAGTTTCTGGGCCACACCCCAGCTGAAGTCTGGGCAGACATAGGCGGGAAAAGCCACCCCTGCATTCATTCATTCATTCATTCTCTCTCTCCCTCTCCCTCTGAGCTATTCGCCTGGGCTCTGAACGTGGGTTCATTCACCAACTCTTGTTCTAACGTCTCTTCATCAGCCACAGTGTCCCAAAGAATTTAACAGGGACTTGACCTGGGAGGTCACAGGCCACCTCTCCCCTGGGACCTGGGGACCCCTGGGACCCGAGTGCCGACAGTGAACGCTGTGAAGTGCCCTGTGGCTGGCTGGCTGTCCGCGGTGGGGGTGATCCCGAAGGGACTCGGTCGTGCTTAATGGAGGGCCACCGCGCACGACGCAGCGGTGGTGAGATCCAGGCCAGCGTCTCCAGCGGCATTTTCAAGCACGCCATAGAGGAGAACCGAGTCGGATTACACGAGTGTGAGGAGGACGGTTCCGGGATGCTCTGGGGGTGCAGAGCAGCACCCCGAGGTGCTTAGGAGCAGGGGGTAGGTAAGGCCGAGCCCGCGGGGGCGAGCGAGGCTGCGCGCGGTGCGCCCCGGGCGCGCGGAGGGGCTCGGCCAGCACGTGGCCCGCAGCGGCGCGCGGAGCCGGGCTGCGCTGGGTCTCCGGTTGCTAGGCAACCGCGTGGGGCTCCCCCCTCCGTGTCCAGCGAGCCTGCGAGCCCTACTCAGCGCGGCCGTCGGAAGTGGTTTGGGGGCTCCCGTACCTCCGGAGGACGCCGCCCAGGAGAGAAGCGTTGAGGCACTCGGGGGGCGAGAGCCGGCGCTGGACCTCCCCGACCGTCACCTTGTACTTGGAGGTGGAGCTGAGCAGGGACAGGCGGCCGGGCACCGAGCAGAACACCTCGCCCGTGTTGACCGACATGCCGCCCAGAAAGCCATCTTTATTCATCATCAGCGAGGTCACGGACTTGGGAGGAACCGGAACTAGAGAGAGGGAGACAGACAGACAGACAGACAGACAGACAGACAGACAAACACATTCGATCAAGGTTTCCATCCTGGCGACCTGGCCGGCAGGACGCGCGCGTGGGGACCCCGGCGGGGAGGCCCCGGGGCCGTGGAGCCTCTGCCGGGGGTGGGGGTGGGGGTCGGCTGCCCACCCCCTGGATGCGCGGCCTGGCCCGCCCCCTAGGCCACTGACGGGACCCTAGAAGCCAGCCCCCCCCCGTGCGTCCTCTGGAGAGGGGACAGCCCGCATGCCCGGGGAGTCACCAGGGGCTGGCTGAGGACGAGGGTCCCCCCAGGGCCCTGACCACTGTCCCCCTCCCCCCCTCTCTCTCTCTGTCTGGATTCAGATCTAGGACGGTCCCCAGGACCCCTGTACCCAAGACTGGGCAGGCCACCTGCGCAGAGGAGGTGGGGTGAGCACCACACACAGCTTTCCAGTGGGGTCCCTTCCTCCTCCCCTAACCCCCATCTGCAGGCTGGGGGCGACGCCCACCCGGGGGAAAGGTCACCCGGCCAGCGACAGGGTCCCCGGGCCGGCCGGGTGGTGATTTACACCGCTGCCCCTCATCCTCCGCCCTCCCCTCGGCCCGCAGGAGCCACGGCCTGGCCTCGCCCCCCGTCTCTCGTTTCGGCACAGAACTGATAACGAACGCGGCGCAGGTATGCTTCCTGCAGAAGTTAATCGGAGCTGACAGCCGGTGGCCACGGCTGCCCTGCGCGCCGGCCTGGCCAGGCCCCGCCCGGGCTCGGGTCTAATTGTGTTTCCGTGTCATCTGCACGTCAGGAGAGAGGTGGGAACGGGGAGCAGTCAGCCCCCCCAAACCCTGAAGTCTGGCCCCGTGGAATCGGACACCGCCCCAGCCCATTTTTCTCGCTCCAAAGCAGAGAAGATACACGTGCAGGTGACTTCTGATTTGCCTACATTGAGATGCCAGCCATCTGCTGTGTGTGTGTATACACGTTTGAGTGGGGGGGGGGGTTCCCTATTCCTATCTTGCTGATAAAGACTCTGTCCCCCCTTATATTCCTGACAGGAGAAAAGATGTACTCTCCTAGCTCTTCCTAGCATCTGGAGTCTAGAATTCTAGATGTGAGATAAGACGTACCACCTCCCTAGGTGGAGGGGATGAACCCCAGGATGCTCCTCACGCACCTTCTCCCACACATAGATCACAGCAGCCGGACGTCTATGATTGGCTGGAGACGTGTAAAAGCCAGACGGAGCCCCAAATCTTTTATTTACTAGGACTTTTCATTTTGCTTTTCGTAAACACTTTATATAAAGTGAACATAAAGCTTCGCCAGCCACAGGGAATGAAGACACACGGAAGCAGTTCCTTCTGAGACTGCTGCTTGGTAAATGTATTGGGTTTCTCCAAAATTGAGGCGTGGTCTCAGGAGATCCCCTGTGCTATGGCAGAGGGAAGGACTGGGGGGAGGGGTCCCCTTTCTTCTTGGGTCCTCATCTTCTTAGCAGGGAAGTTGCTTGCTTACCATGCCAGAAGTCGGTATAGCAACCAGACTTATGCAGCAAGTCAGTAGAGTACCCCGATTTCTATAACATCTGGAGTTTAAAGTCACTAAGTGAGTGGGTGATAGAGCTAGAGGAAACAAGCCCTCCATCATTTTGCTGTGGCCACAGCACGCGCATCTAATCTAATCTACCTGATTTCCCGACACTTCAGACTCCCATTCGAGGCACTCCATCCAAATGGTTCCAGAAGTTACCATTTAGTAAGCTACTCCCCCCGTAAATAGTGATGACTCTTTGCAGTTTTAATATGATGTATACTGTAGAAACAAATTCTATGAAACCCTCATTTTTTGCTACTCGGTAACACTTTCACAATACTACGTTAACAAAGAGCCCTACTCACTAAGTGGAAAACGCCACGTCCGGCCTCAGCTTTCTGCCCCTTTACACTGGAATTTTACCAGCTTGGGGTGGGGGGAGTTGGGACTTTGGGAAACACTTTATAACCTGCCCACACACGGTCCAGTCGTTAATTGCCTGATTTGCCTGACAAGGGCTGTTTTCTCTGAGGATGTGTGTCTCTCTCCCCCCGGGGTGTTTCTTCTGCACACCTTCATTATCACCTCAATGCCCTCCTCCTAGTGCCAGCCCCTCCCCAACCTCGGAGCGGTTCCCCTCCCCCAACCATCTTGAATGCAAGCGCTGGGGTGTCAGATTAGACCTGCCTCTTCGGATGGAAGTGTCACAATCTGGTTCCTCTAACCAACCCTCTGTCCACCCCGGGGCCTAGCGCTGGTCCCTTCCACTGTGTCCTGCAGATTCCTCACCCCAGTCTCCCTTTTGGCCCAAAGCTTCTACGTGTGCCCTTCCACCCCACACCTGCCTTACTCAGCTGATTAACCTCCTGTTTTATTCTCTTTGTCTTCCCCTTCTGCTTTCCTCCAGCTTATCAATAAATGCACCCAGCACCAGGGCCCGGTTGATTTGTTAGTAATTACGAGCACACACCGCTCCAGCTCAGGCAATGCAGAGATGACTAAGATAGGTTTAAAGCAACAGCAGGAAATAGCGAGGAGACAGAGCGAGGCAGAACTCAGCATGAACCTATTGGTTCTTTACATGTTTACAATTTTCTGCGCATGCATTAGAAGTAGTCTTTCCCCCCTTCCGTTCTCCCTTGGGTGGCAAATGCAACCTCTGGGTGCCGCCTCCCCAAACCTTTCTCATCCCTTTCCTTGAATGAAACGGTGAGGATGGAAATGGCTTAACGACGGATCGCTGGCTTGTGAGGGTGACTTGGAGCTGGCAGGAAGGAAGGGAAAACACTTACCAGAAAAATCTCCTTTTCTTATCATTTGTTGACTAAACAGAGCTAACGTGTTAATAGTCTAGCTGTTCATCTCTAATTTAGCGCAAACTTCCGTGTGAACGCGTAGCTTTGAGAACTGTGTGTCTGATGAGCTCCTGTGGGTGGGAAGATGGGGGCGGGGAGAGAAATCTTCCCCCATAGACTCCAGGGTTCAGGTGCTCTAAGAAGCGAGCAGCAAGGTAATACCCCTGACCACTCTTCAGCCCTGCCTCCTATAGGATCTGGGTCTGCGAGGTGGGGCACGGCATTAGCTTTCATCTGTCCTCACCTGAGGAGACCTTGAGAAAGTCACTCACATCTGCTCGGCCTCCACATGCTCAGAGCTCGTGTCTGGGTTAAAACGCTCTGAACTGCAACTGTTCCCTGGGTGGCTGCAGTCTATCTCAGGCTCTGTGGCTGAGAGAGAGGTGTTGAGCCCCAAGCCAGCCTCAGACATGGAAGCTGCTCTCGAAGCTTTTAGGGGGCGCTGACAGACTCCGTGTACCTCCTCTTCTAGGCAAGAAGAGACCATCTCCCACAGACCTAGTGGAATTAAGATTTGGGCAATTGCCTTGTCCCTCCTGCTGAAGAAAATCCTCATCGAAATGTGCGTGCGGGGCAGGGGTGGGGGTGAAGAGGCCAGCATTTATGGAAGAAGCAAAAACCAATGTAGAAGAGGGCAGAGACCGAAGTGAAACTAACCGAACAGGGCATCCCCCAAGATCAGGAAAACACGCCACACCTGTGAACTTGGACTCCAGCCTCACTGCCTTTCCAAGAAACCCCAGCACATTTTTTTGCTGTCTAAGGTGTCCAACAGATGGCATCCTGGCCCCTGATTGTCCCTTCCCCCCAAATCTCCTTCCGAAAGCCCAGGTAAGCCTTGTTTTAGGGTATAGGACAGTAGCCATGATCATTTCTGTTAGCATGGCACCTCCCCCATGCCCCGCCCACATTCCTAATCTTAATGGAACTGAGGGTTAAGAATGATTTTTTAATGTCTCGTTGGATTTTTAGACTGTTAATGTACCGAATCCTTCTCATTATTACTTTATTGATTGCTCATTGACCAGCCCCCTCCAAATCGTATTAACCACCCTCTGCCGGTTTAGATTAGGAGAGCTTAAAAAGCACCTTTCATTACCCCCTCCCCGGCTACCCCTGCCACCGACTGGAGACTCGGAGGCTTAATGGGAGCTCTAATGGGGCCGCCACGAGGAGAGGGCCTCGGTCCCTGCCGATTGCATTAATAGCTCAAAGGGGGCCAATACAGAAAATTAGCCGTAAACGAGCTCTGGAGATCTTCAAATGAAAGAGCCATTTATCAGGCCGGCTACCTCCCTCCACTCTACTGGGAACAACTCATTTCCTCTTAACTAAATTACTTCAGAAATGTCAGCTAAGCCCAGATAGCAAACATCACGAGAGAGGGAGCCGATCAGCGCCGGGGTGATACCAAAACAACAGCTGAAAAATGAGGCTGGTGACGTGCGAGAAGGGGCCCGGCCCTCATTAGAGCGAGGGGCCGGGGGAAACCGATCCCGAGCTGCCCAGACGCCAGGAACGTCCACGATGCACCGGCCGCGCTCTCACCAACAAGGTGCCACTTCTAGAAAACTCTGTGTCCAGCCCGTTAGAAAACAAACGACGCCACTCAGACCCTGGCTACTTGTTGAAAATCAGAATACTCAGTTCGGAAAACGTTCTCCCCCTGGACAGAATGGACCTGTTGATCCCTCCCTGGCGAGGAAGGGGCGGGCCGGAGGGGGCAGAGGGCACGCAGGGCCTTTAACCAGTGGCGCTAAACCAAGCACTTCTTAGTTTGCCTGTGGCTCTTTAAAGATATAAATAGGATACCAGGAACCTTTCTTCATGTAATAAAAAATACCCCAAGTATCAAAGAATGGAACTGACACTCATGTTCTCACCATTTCTCCACCTCAATCAATTAAGGTGCTCAGGATGCTATGTAGACTTTTTAAGCTGGAAGAAGGAGGAAGGAGGAGGAAGGAGGAGGAAGGA